GAAGCTGAAGAAACAGTGGACCACTTGGTAAGCTGTTGCAAGAAGATTGCACAGACTGATTACAAGCAGCGGCATGACAAAGTAGCAACAATGGTGCATTGGAAGATCTGCAAAAAATATCATTTGCCTGTAAGCAAAAACTGGTGGGATCATAAAATAGAGAAAGTCATAGAAAATGATAAAATTAAACTGCTCTGGGACTTCAGAATTCAAACAGACAAGCACCTGCAACATAACACCCCAGACTTAACAATTGTCGATAAGAAAGACAAAAAAGTCTGGATAGTGGACGTGGCAGTGCCTGGAGATAGCAGAATAGAAGAGAAAGAACTGGAGAAGATAACAAAATACAAAGACCTACAAATAGAAATAGAAAGACTGTGGCAAAAGCAAGCAAGGGTAGTACCAATAGTAATAGGCTCCTTGGGTGCAATCCCAAAACAACTGGAGCACCACTTGAACACCATTGGCATTGACAAATTCGCTATTAGTCAATTGCAAAAGGCGGCCTTATTAGGAACTGCTTCCATCCTGCGACGATATCTGTAATACCATCAAACATCCACATCTGCCTATCCCAGGTCCTGGGTAAGGACTCGATAGGTAGACAAAATGCCAAATCCAGTCTGAACATCTGGCTGACTGTGCGATGATCCATAATAATAATAATAATAAAATCGAATTTCATTCACTTAACAACCACCTTCCAATGGAAATTCTGGTCCCAAAAGTTGAGACAATCTGTATTTTATATTTTTAATACAAAGATATTCTGACAATAGGAGCCAAGAAGTTATATTTACCAATTAGCATGATTTCTGAGAAACGTAGGAACATTTCACCGCCTCTGCCATATATGATTGCTAACGCATCACTGTAGCAAACAGATAATGTGATTTCATTAATGTACTTTCATATTACTTCTAAATCATTATTAATGACTCACACAAATCTTAAGTAGAGGCAGTCCTTGGATTAAGAACTTCTGACTTTTAGACAACTCATATTTACGAATGGGTTGCCTGTTACTAAACATGGCAGATTTCCTTGAGCTAACAAACTGCGGAAGCTGCACAGTGCACAGTGTTTTCATGAACTACTGATGCAGAAAAAAGAGTCTATTTGTAACTTCTGATTCTTACATACAAATCTGAGTTAGACAGATAGAGGAACAGAACTCATTCTTAACCCCGGGACTGTCTGTATTAATGATCTGAATTAACTCAAGACAGCTCAGAACATCAGGTTTCCCACTAAAAATGACAGCGATTCAATTTATTGGTATCTTAGAACAATGCTTTCAATTATCAAGATCACATTAATACCACACTACTGAAACATATACTGTATTTTTATGGCATCAGTATTAGTCTTTCTGGAACCATATCTTGGTAATAGCATAAAGCAAGATAAACTTGTGGCAAAAAAACCCCCCTGTTCTTCAGTAACTACTTCAACATTCAACAGAAAAAAATATTTCAAAGTTTTCAATGCCATTCTACAGAGACTATCAAAAGGAATAGAGAAAACAATAGTTAATTCATATGACAATTATAGAAAGACTTCAAGTACTTAGAGATAATACTGAAAAGGCTTCCAGAGTTGCTTTTGAAAATTCTGGAAACCATCCAAATAGGTTTTTCAGATCAAATAGCATTTAGAAGTGGTGATTCAGGAGATGTTCACTCATTCCTGATTTAAACAATCTTATTTAGAACTATAATACCACACCCTAAACAACATTAGAGAAAGATTTACAGATATTGCTCATGCTAGCTGACCTATGTTGGACCACATGTATCTTTTCATGCCCAATCTCAGTTAGTGTAGAGATCTATTAAACTTCTCTTGCAGATTAAATATTTTTTTCCCCTTATAAGATAAATGTTTCCATGTGCAGGAACATTCCAAATACTTCAGACTTATGCTGGGTAGGCTATCTTTGAACAGATAATTCCCCAGACTGCAAACTACTGACTAGAGTAAAGAGTTACGGTACATGTGTGGATACTTATAAAGAATGAAAGAACATGAAGCCGGATATGTGACACCGTAAGATATATAATCTGCCTCTGGATTTCAAAAATGAAAATAAGTAGAGAACTAGTGAGCCATCAAATTTCAGCAAATAAAACCACAATCACCTATGTCCTTGTAAGGTTTCTCTTTAGTTTGCAAAACATATTTTATTTAATTTTTTCAATAAATATACTTGTTTACTTTAGCAAAGAAAGCAAATTTACACCCCTTTTTGATCCATCATAAGGCCTTGTGGGAACGCTCACCAGGTTCCCTTCTTCTTAGGCATTTTATATGGAACAAAAGCCTCATTTGTTTCTTTCTGGTAAACTGTTTTTGAATAAAAGGGAGAGAAAACACATTTCTAATGAAAACGTAAGAGCTTCCATAGCATTACATGTCTCAGGAACAGATGTACAGACAGCAAGTGATAAGTTACTTGCCTACAGGTGTGAAAGCCCATGTCTGCTTAGAAATTGCTTCTACTGCACATATTTTGCAAACAAATGCCAAAATCAAATTATGATTTATTTAACAGAGTAAACCCTTGAATAATAAAGGAAAAGGTATCTATAAATACAGGATGTTGTTAAATATCAATATAAAGACTTCTAAACTGACAGTTTACTTAGGCATTTCTCTTTCTGCTAATATTATACCCATTTTTCCATGCTGTTTACAAAAATACAACAGTTAAAATGGTTAAACTGTAGTTTTAGTCTTTTTCTTTGCGCAAGATCTTTAATCAGAAAATACTTTTCATCTGCTTTACTGAATAAAAAAATTAACACAGTATACAAGAACAAATTAAATCATATCAAAATAGAAATTAAGAGCAATATCAGTAAAAATTCTAAGAAATCAATGCTATACCGATATTTAAAAATACTTTAAATGCACCCAAATTTTCCCTACTGTTGAGTTTGTGCATGCATGCATTTATGAGCCTCTCAATAAAATAGAAAGTATTGATTTTCCCAAATTTTCTCCTCCTTTGCTTGTTTTTATAAGCATTCCATAATATGATTCCTCATACCAGTATCTTGAAGTTAATTAATCTAGAAAAAGAATTGATTTAAATAAATGCATAAAGTGATTTTCATTCTTGAAGGGACTTTCCCTGGACCCAACTATAGCAATAGCAATAGCATTTAGATTTATATATCACCCCATAGTGCTTTACAGCAGGGGTCCCCAACCACCGGACCTGTGCCGGGCTGTGACCCATTGGGAATGGGCGAGTATGCAAAGTTGCATTTGTGCAAGTGGCGTGCATGCGCGCAAACCCATCCCCTCTCCCCTCTGCTCCCACTGGTGCTGGTCCACAGAGCTGGAAAGGTTGGAGATTGCTGCTTTATAGCATTCTCTGAGCAGTTTACAATGTCAGCATATTGCCCCAATATGGAAGGACGTTACCAATCCTGGAAGGACGTTAGGCTGATTCAACCTCAAGCCCCGTCAGGATCAAACTCCAAGCTATGGGTAGAGCTTGCCTGTAATGCTGCATTTAAACCACTCTGCCACCAGGGCTCAGCTATACCTGGCAACCTATTGCATAGTTCCTACCTACTGCTGAGAAGTTGGTGTTGCTTTAGCAAAAAATGAACTGAGTCTTTTTTCAGTTAGGTTTGAGGTCAAAGTATGACACCTAAAACAGGAATGATCACTCACTGTGGTAGCTAACCTCTGCCAGGATCTGGATGTGGAAGAGCACATATCGCGGTCCTCCCAAACTCTTGGTTGCTCTTGATACTATCAACCACAGTATCGTTCTGTGTTTGATTTAGAGCAAAACAAAAGAGCAAATTTAGATTATTTGCTCAGCTCTTTCCTACCCATTAAGTGGGGAAGAAGAAATCAGCTGCCAGGAGGTCCCCTTTTGGGGTCCTAAAGGGTTAAATCCTCTTCTCCTCTGTATCTATATGAGACCACTGAAAAAGGCATCAATCAGTTTGGGGTGAGGCACCATCAATATGCTCATTGTCACCTTTGGACTGAACCGGATTTGTCATGGGTTTGAGGGTCTGGAGAGAGAAACTAAATTGAACTCAAACCAGATGAAGCTGTGTTTGTCCAGATGTTACTCTACATGGGATGCCATTCTCCCAGAAATATCTGGTCTATGACTAGAGTGACTTTATTGACACATGCTACTGCTGCATGAGTGGTTAAGAAGACTTCGCCTAGCTTTGGCTGGTGCAACAAAGGTGGCTCTATCTGAAGTGGAAGGTCCTACAATAGTGACTCATAGAAAGATCACAATTAGATTACTGCAATGTATTATATATAGGACTGCGATTTCAAGATTACCCAGAATCTGCAATTGTTGCCCAACACAGCTGCCTGCACAGTGGTAAGTGGGAGCAACTACTGCTACGGGGCCTATAGTATAGTGGGGGCACTACGCTAGCTTCCAATATGTTTCTGTATAAAATTTAAAGTGCATGTTTTTTATTTTTATAGCCAAAAATGTGTTGGCTCCTAGGTTCTTATAGAACTCATGAAGGCTCCAACATGGTGCTTTCCTGTGGTGGCCTCTCCTCTGTATAGCAGTCTTCCATCAGAAGTCAAATTAGCAGAAACCCTGATTTTTTGGGGGGAGGGAAAGCTACCAGAATGGAGTCATTCTGCAGAGTCTTTGAAAACTCACATTGTCCATTGCTAGACTGATGCTACTGGTATGTGTTACGATGATTATTTCTTTCCTTCTATTTCTGCTATAATCAGCAGCACTGGCTTTTACTGTTTTTGTTTTAATATTCTTTATGAATGTAAACTGGCACAAATCATATGATTTAGGTGATGTATAAACAAAATAAATAAAATGCAAAATTACTGCCATGTTTCTATTTGAACCACAGCTCACCAGAAGAATCTGAACTTGTACAGATATAATTTTAAAAATGTCCATGAAATATTCATACAATTTGACTGTAACAAAACAGCAGCTTTTTTGACAATAGGTTAACTTTCATACTCACCGCTAATGTTTATTGCAGGTAACACTATTGACATCTTTGGTCGCCTGGTCTTATTATGCGTGGTGGCAGGTAACAACAGGTGATCCTAAAAAAATATATTACAGATATTAGGTTGTACTGGTGACTTTTAAACTGTGAAAAATTATGTAGAAAAAAATGAAAAATTAAAAGTAATACAATTCCTTATCTAAAGATGGATGAGGGGATAGATGGAGAACTCATCAAATTTGCAGACAACACCAAGCTGGCAGGAATAGCCAACACTTCAGAAGTCAGGCTTAAGATACAGAGGGATCTTGACAGACTTGAACATTGGGCACTATCTAACAAAATGAAATATAATAGTGAAAAAAGTAAGGTTCTACATTTAGACAAGAAAAATCAAATGCACAGGTACAGTATAGCTGATACCTTGCTCAGTAGTAGTAACTGTGAGAGGGATCTCACTTAAATATGAGCCAGCAGTGTGGTGCAGCTGCCGAAAAAGCCAACACAGTGCTAGGCTGCATTAACAGAGGGATAGAATCAAGATTACGTGAAGTGTTAATATCACTTTACAATGCCTTGGTAAGGCCACACTTGGAATACTGCATTCAGTTTTGGTCACCACAATGTAAAAAATATGTTGAGACTCTAGAAAGAGTACAGAGAAGAGCAACAAAGATGATTAGGGGACTGGAGGCTAAAACATATAAGGAACGATTGCTGAAATTGGGTATGTCTAGTTTAATGAAGAGAAGGATGAGGGGTGACATGATAACAGTGTTCCAATATCTCAGGGGCTGCCACAAACAAGAGGGAGTCAAGCTATTTTCCAAAGAGCCTGAAGGCAGGACAAAAAGCAATGGATGGAAATTAACCAATGAGAGAAGCAACCTAAAACTAAGGAGAAATTTCCTGACAGCTAGAACAATTAATCAGTGGAACAACCTGCCTCCAGAAGCTGTGAATGCTCAAGTATTAGAAGTTTTTAAGAAGAGACTAGACAGCCATTTGTCTGAAATGGTATAGGGTTTCCTGCCTGAGCAGGGGGTTGCGCTTGATGACCTCCAAGATCCCTTCCAACTTCTTATTGTTATTGTTATCCTTTGACACACTACTGTATCTCCTTATAGATTCCAAGATCTAACATTAAGAATAAATTCCACACCAATTCAGCATGTAAATTACATTTGAAATAAGAATTCAAACTGCTTCCATAAAAATATGATAGCTGAATATAGCCATCAGGAAAGATTGAACTAGCTTATTTCTGCCTCCTTTGGATTATATTTTTGAATTATAGTATTAGTGAAATATTCTTGTATTTTTTAAACCAACCCTAATATTAAGAGTATCATATTCCTATTTGGATCACAAAACAAAACTCTTACCACAAATAGTTCACACTCTGAATGTCTACTTTTTATGTACCAGATCTTCACCCCTCATTACTATTAATTCACAATTCTATTTGTTTTTAATTGAAACAATAGCCCAGTTGTTTCTGGCTTCCATGTTGATGTGAGAATTTAGTATTTAATTTTTAACTACCTCTCACTTTTAAATTAATTGTAGTTTATTCAATATTCTTTATTCCCTGCTTCTTTTACTTTTACATTATAAAAAGGTAAAGTAAAGGAGTCCCTGTGGATTTTATTCCGCTAGTTGTTGCTGACTACAGAGGGTGGTGCTCATCTCCATTTCAAGGCCATTGAGCCGGTGCTGTCCAAAGATATTTCCGCAGTCATGTGGCCAATATGACATCATGGAGTGCTGTTACCTTCCCAATGAAGTGATACCTATTTACCTACTTGCATTTGCATGTTTTCAAACTATTAGGCTGGCAGGAGCTGGGCAGGATGGGAACTTATCCCATCGCATGGCAGTTGAGTCTTAAACCTGGGTTGCTGGCTTTCCAGCCAACAAGCCCAGCATCTTAACAGCTGAGCCACCATGCCACCCTGTTACATTATAATGTTCTAAATCATTAATTTTAACTTACAACTTGCATCAATCTATAAATTGTATAAATATAATTTAATTTATATTAATAGCCATCTTAAGTTTTCCAGATGGCATATAAGAGTTATTTTAACTAAAAATGTAGCTAATCAAAGAAATCACGCTACAAAATAGTGATTATTTAAAATAGTGATTATTTAGCCTCAAGAATCTTTGAAGCTAAATGATCAAAGGAAGGAATGCCACTCTTGAAAACAAATGTGGCATGAAGTTTAACAGAGCCTTGCTTAATAGGAACTGTCTGTTGCTCTTCCTTGCTTAGATGCTGCTGTAGAAATAGGTCTACAATACGTAGCCTTTGCTATTGTTCTTCAGCAGCTAACAAAATCTATATTTCAGCTTGATTAAAGAAACATACTGCCTTGGACTGAGTTTAGAATGTATAGAGCATCGGGCTCAGAAGATTACTGAACCAGAGGATAGCCATGACAAAAACTGGAGCAGTCTAATCTGGCAACATCATATTTCCAGTCAGATAGTTTTCCAGCCATTATGCCAGGTATTGAATTTTAGGATTTCTCTTGGATTGTCATTCCATCACAGTAAAAGTGTTGGCTCAGAGCTACAAAGTCATCTGCTCTGGAGTCTAACTTACTTTGATTTATTCTGTCTTTAGATGACACTTCACATGAAAAGAGCAAATGGTAGATTTTTAAGGATCATATTTCAATTTTTACAATATATATATATATCTTACTATTATTAACAATAAATGTAGGTATTTTGTATCTCAAATACTAAACTGCCAATTAATAATGATTTGCTTTCTTTCTCAAAGTATTTTGGCAGTAACTGAGAAGCTCAATGAAATATGAGCTTTTTTTCTTATAATTCAAAACCACGGATGAAGGAAGGATTCAATTTTTTTTACAGATAATTAAATTCACCCATATGTATTAGGCCACATTAATTATCAAATGTGCCACATCAAAATGCACAAAATTATGGGGACAGTAATGTATTTTATTTTGACAAATTCAGTTACTTAAATGAGTTTGTTGCTTTAACCTGACAGATAAAGACTCTGTTTATGTATAAATTAATACAGCTGCGATATGACATCCTTTCTTTCTCTACTCTAGGGGTGTCAAACTGCCGGCCCATGGGCCAGATGCGTCATGGCGAAACCATTGCCGGCAATGGAAAAAAAGTTGTGATATGTCGTGACACATCACGTGACATTGCGAGTTTGACACCCCTGCTCTACTCTTAACTTGCTTGATACAACTTTTTCAAAATCACTTAGTAAAAATAACCATAAAGACACACGAAGTATTTAGCGACTTTCTCCCAAGTAAATCATCATGGAAAAAAATCTATCTATGTGGGTCAAGTTGAAAATGACTTGATGGCACATAATCATCTCTTTAATATTTAGGAAGACAGATGCTTCCCTCGATAATTTCCCTTTAGCATTAGGAAGTGGCACAGTAAAAACTGCACGTATGAGAAAAATGCCAAACTGTTTAAGTGCAGCTTTTCCAAATCTTCTACTGGCCACTTCCTGTTATTTACTGAAGTTGGAAATTAATACTGTGTCGCATTAACACATTTCACATTTGTGTAGATGGACAGAGAAGACAAAAAAAAAAAAAAAAAAAATCCCAGAATTTCAGATTTCCAGCTTAGTTTCAAAGTTATCTACATCTTGTCTATGAGGTCTTGTGAAAAATATGTTTTGAAGAATTGTGCATGAAAAGAGGGCACAAAGGGAGTTAGTTAGGAAGTTTGACTTCATTAGCAAGGAATTTACCCACTCTAGAGGTTAGATGTTTTCTCTTGCAGATTATGAGGAAGCCAAGTGAAAGCTTTCTGTGCCAGTACTTAAGAAATCAACTTTCTTTGCATTACATAGATTGCTCAACAATATTTCATATTATTCAGTTTCCATGTATTGTGCCTCTCCATTATTCCTAGCACAGTCCTATTGTGCTAACTATTTTGTTCCTCAGTTATCATTTAAATGCAGATTCACAAATACTTTTTCATTTTTTGTAAAAAAAAAAAAATCCATATAAGTCTATTCACTTTTTAAATGAATCTGAAAATTTTGGAGGTAAGTACTTCTAATCCAAATATTTTCTCCTCACTAAAAAACAATCCTCCCAGGCTCTGTATTTTGGGTAGGGATACTTTAATCCCCTAATTTAGTTTTTTAAAATATATAGAAGCTATCAACTCCCATAATCTCAATCAGCAGGACTGAATGTTTCATACGATTTATGAGAAATATATTCTTAACCTGTCTGATGGATGCCAGATTTAGAATGGCTATAATACCATTGGACAGCAAAGAAACCAAACAAATTAATCATCAAAATTAATCATCAAACAAATTAATCCAGAGTTCTCAATTGAGGCACAAAATGACCACTCAAGGCAGGGAACATGCTTACTATTCCTACCTCTTATTTTCCCTTACAACAACAACCCTGTGAGGAGGGCTGAAAGAGACTGACTGGCCCAAAGTCACCCAGTTGGCTTTTGTACTGAAGGAAAGCCTAGGACTAACAGTCTTCTGACTTCTAGGCCAGCACCTTAATCACTACACCAAACTGACACTCAAATTATCTTACTTCAGACACATTATGTGAAGATCTATCTCCCTGGAGAAGGCTTTAACGATGGCAAAGGGGGGAAAAAAGAGCAAAGGATGATCAGCAACAAAGGGAATGTACTCAGTTACAGTGTCAATAGGGGCACCATTGGAAGATCTGAAAGACCAGGTTAGGGACAGATTGTCATGGAGAAAAACTATGTGGTCACTAAGAGTCAACATTGACTTGATGGCACATAATTGATCATCAATCAAGGATAAACATAGCACATACATTGAGGGATTCATAAAGACTTTAATCATTTTAAGCATTTCTGCTTGCATAAATGTATGGCTTCTATTTCTTAAACCAGGATACTTTTTGTTTCCTGTTTTTTCCAAATGATACCAATCATTTTACTAACCCAGTCAAAAGCAAAACAAATTCAACTCCCACATGTCAACAATGAGAAAAGCCATCCCTACGACAATCTCACTGGTCAATTATCATTTTGACAGAAATTCTCTTCCCAGCCCTGGATCAC